AGCTAAAGCTAAAAATGTGGAACAGTAGCTAAAGCTAAAAATGTAGAAAACAAGCTAAAGCTAAAAATGTGGAACAGTAGCTAAAGCTAAAAATATAGAAAAATAGCTAAAGCTAAAAATGTAGAACGGTAGCTAAAGCTAAAAGGACTGGAATGCTTGCTAAAAGTGGAAAAAAATCTGCCTAGAAACTAAAATTAGCAAAAGGCTAACCAAGGCTAGCTAAAAACTAATAAAATAGCATCTAAAGGATAGCTAGAAGTTAAAAGTATAAAAAAAAGACTAGCTAAAAGTAGATAAAGGTTGGCTAAAAACTAATAAAGCGGAAAATAAACAAAGTATCTAGAGGACAGCTAGAAGATAAAAGTAAAAAAAGACTATTTAAAAGTAGCTAAAGGCTAGCTAAAACTAATATAACAATAAAAACTTAGTATCTTAAGGAGAGCTAGTGGCTAAAAATAAAGCTAAAAGCTAGCTAAAATTAAAAAAGGGCTAGCTAAAAGTAGCTAAAGCCTGGCTAGAAACTAAAATTAGCAAAAGGTTAGCTAAAAACTTACATAACAGAACACAAACTAAAAGTATCTAAAGGATAGCTAAAAGCTAAAAAAAACTAGCTAAAAGTAGAAAAGGCCTGGCTAGAAACAAAAAGTAGAAAAAAGTTAGCTAAAACAGACATAACAGAGGACAAACTGAAATTATCTAAAGCATAGCTAAAAACTAAAAGTACAAAACAGCTAGTTAAAAGAAGTATGCAAAAAATGTGCAAAAAACACAAAAAATAAAATAAAATGACAGGAAAACAAGAGCTGGAAGATTTCCATCACTAACTACACTGCTGTAGTTTAACATGAGAAGCTAACATATTTAAATCAGACGTGACCTAAAAGAGAGAGGAGGAGTCCTGACAGTAACAGATGGGTCGTCCTGGTTCTGCTGTGTGGTGTGTGTGTTTCAGAGGACATCTGCTGGTCAGTGTGTCTGTCACGCTCAGGCCACGATGACGACTGTGTCAATATTTACTCCAAATGGGAAAAAAATCTGTCTATCCATCATAACAACAATAACAATACAGCTCACCCACCGAGGGGGAAAAGAGCTTTTTTAGCTTCATGTTTATGATCTGTCCAGGTGAGCCCTGTAAGTTAAGCAATCAGCTGATACCAGGTGTAACACCTGAGAAGAGAAACAAAGTGTCTCCAGTTTTATTTTACAAACTAACATCTGATGAAGTTTATTTGGTCTTGTTCAGAACTTTTCTATGATGTGAGCTTTTTAAAGCGAGAAGAACAGAAACTGTGTCCTAGTTCAGTCACAGCAGGAAAGTTTAAACACAAAAACAGAACATGTTAAAAAGTGGGACATCATAGAAATACTGTTGTAAACTGGACTTTTACACTTTAGCTGGACTCCCACTGGCTCTATTTGTCTTTTTATACTACTTTTAGCTGTTTTGTTGTTGGTTTTTTAGCAACTCTTTTGCTACTTTTAGCTTTTAGGAAGCCTTTTGCTAAACTTTTAATAACCTTTATGCTATTTAATGTTTAAGCTTTTTAGTGCTTTTAGCAAAGATTTGGCAGCTTTTCGCTAATATTTTGCTACTTTTAGCTAGCTATTTTTTAATTTAAAGCTTTAAGCTGACCCTTTGGTACTTTTAGCTGTCATGTTGTTTTATTCAGCTAGCCTTTTGCTACTTTAAACATTTAGTAACCTTGTGCTGCTTAAGGATTTAGCTATTAGCTATTATTTAGCTATTTGTTAATTTGAGCTCTTCTTGCAAACATTTTGCTACTTTTAGCTAATAAATTTAATCTGTAACACACTTTCATTAACAAAAATGCTGACCTTTTGCTACTATTAGCTTTTAGTTAGCCATTTGGTACTTTTAGCTTCAAGCTAGCCTTTTGCTATCTTGGCTTTTATCTAGCATTTTGCTACTTTTGGCTTCAAGCTATTATTTTTTTACTTTGGCTTTTAGCTTTGCTTCTTTTAACTTTTAGCTAATAGATTTAATTTGTAACACCCTTCATTAACAAAACCTCATGGTGCTGACATTTTACTAGATTTATGTTAGCCTTTTGATTTTGTGGCTTTCAGCTAATCTTATGCTACTTTTAGTTTTAAGCTATTATTTGCTACTTTCGGGTTTTAGTTAGCCTTTTTCTACTTTTAGATAATGGAATTAACACACTTTTCTTTAGTGAAAATCTCATGGTGCTGACTTTTTACTACTATCAGATTTTACTGTAGTTAACTTTTTACTACTTTGGATTTTAGCTAGCCTTTTGCAATGTTTAGCTTTTAGCCAATTTTTTGCTGCTTTTAGCAGGTTTCTTGCTACTTTTAACTAGTGTCCTGCTTTGTTAAGCTTCTTCTGTAATTTTCAGCCAAGTCATTCTTAGTATTTCGGCTGTATTTTCACAGGAAATGTGATTTTTTTTTAGTTTATAATAAGTATTTGTTCCTCGTTGTTGGGGAGGTGTTTATTCGGCTTGTTGAGGAGGCTCAGTCATCCTGCAGCATCAGAACAGCCCTTATTGATGAAACACCACATTACATATTCAGAACAATGCGGTCGTCAGCTTATTGGACCTCAGTACTACACTACATCAGTACCACACAACATCACCATGTACTACTGCGGAGCTTTAGTTGTCTGTTAAAGGATTTCCTTTTGGGTTTCCACACTTCGAAGTTATATTAAAGTGGTTTATGTCAAATCCAGGATGATGGTCAACTTTTTGTTGTTTATTTATTTAAGAAGGGACAGTGCATATTACAGAAAATGCCAGAATTAGCCATGGAGGCTAGTTTTCATCTGTAGTCCCTTTTTTCTGAACAAGAGGATGGAAAACAGCTGACTTGGCAGAAATTAAAATATTAAGTATGAATGGAAAAGTGAGCAGACAAACAGGAAGAAGCATCAGGAGGAATAACCATCATGCAAGAGCTGCACGAGGAGGAGGAGGGAGAGCTGATTGGGCAGCTGTTGCCAGCAGACACCAGGAATCACCCCACACAAGCTAAAATTAAAAAAGTAGTAGCTAAAGGCTAAAACCATGAGAAATACAGTAGCTCAAAGCTTAAAGTAACAAAACAGCAACTAAAAGGCAAAAAATAAAAATAAAAAAAGAAATTCAAAGGGAAACATACCGGTAATTGTGTAAAGTTTTAAAGCGTTCTTAATGTATGTCTTTAATTCTAAATATTTCAAAAAGTAAAACTGTTTCAAATACTAAAAATCACAGCAGTAAAGTCTTAAACCAGCTGAATGCTTTGATATCTGAACAGCTCAAGTAGCTGAATGTAGTTTAAGCACAAACCTATAAAAAGAAAACCATAAATTAGAGAGAGAAAAAAGTGCTGACTCAACATCCATGCTATTATAACCCAGTTTTTACATTTACATTATTTCAAATAATACATAATATTATTAAAACAGTTTCTTTTTGTGATTTGTGAGTCAGTATCCACAGAAGTAACTCGCTAATGGCTGAAAGACAACCCACTCCGACACTGAAATGACCCATTAAAGTTCCGCATCACAGAAGTGTATCTGCGAGGCAGAAAATAAAATAAAAAAAACCTCTGCATTATCTGAACGACCGGCGGCGCTCACCTTTTCTATTTTATCCAGCCATTCCTTATTCTGGGCCAGCTCGGCCATGAAGGCCTGGTGCTTCTGCCATTTCTTATGGAGCTTCTGGGTCTCGTCTCGGCTGCTGTCCCTCGCCATCAGCATCTTCTCGTACACCCAGTCCCCCAGCTGGGCACAGAGTAGGAAAGAGAAGCAGAAATGTTAAAATGTATACCGAAAACAATGATCCAAGAAAAGAATCGTGTTAAACAAACAACAACAACAACAAAATACTCTTTTTCTACTCAAACTGCATAGCTTCAAACAGACTAGCATTTTGAATTTAGCAGAATTATTCAAAAATTAAAAATAAATAACGAAACTTGTCTTGACAAAAAAAGTTTCCTTTAGAAAAAATTACAATAATCTGACCATGGAGACTTTCGGATGTCTTTGTCAATCTGCCTGTTTAAAGGTTGGCAGGTAGTCACAGGGCTGTTTGGGACCAAGGTGTGTAACACACTGATCATGGAGCACAGAAACCTGAAGACAGAGTGTCTCAGGTGAGGACAGAGTGTCTCAGGTGAGAACAGAGTGTCTCAGGTGAGAACAGAGTGTCTAAAGAGCTTCGAATGAGAGAAAAAAGTTGAAGGTAAAGCCTTAAAGGGTCTGTGACATGCATATTTTTCAAATACAAAAAAATAGTTTAATGTAAAGTTTAATGAAAACATATTTATATTTAAAAAAGTTGGAATAATACATATGATTTAACCCATTTTGTCACATAACTGGCAGATTTTCTTTTGAACTTGGCTCAGCCTAAGTGAAACAGGAAGTGACATCAAAGGGGAACTCTTTAACAAAGAAAACCCTCTGGTCTTTGTTTATTGAAACATTATTTGAACTCTGACTCTTCTTCATCTCTGATAGTGACTCAAAATAATCTTAAGAAACATCAGATTCTTCTCTACAGTCTGTGTTATCAGCTGTTGTAGCAACACTCTGTTCACATTCAGACATTCCCCTTTGACATCACTTCCTGTTTCTTCACAGGCAAATATCTCAACAACTGTTCATCTCAGCGACATGATTTCTTTTTTACAATATTTTATCAATCTCCTCTTTCTAAAAATGCATTCATATGTATTACAAAAATTTGACGTCACAGGCCCTTTAAGACCATCTCAAGCAGCTTGATGTTCCTTCAGCTGCTCAGAATATACAGAAGTTTAAAGTCCACAAGACTGGAAACAATCTCCCTGGTCGTGTCCACAAGAGGACAACTGATGACAATGAAGAGATGGAGAATATGAATAATACCAATGAGTCCAGACTTTCAAAGAGATTAATGTGAGCCAAAGTGGACTCAATAAAAAATGACAGAGGACAATAAATGAAGGAGACCCATGAAGACCCATTGAAGAATGTCCCTTGGACAGATTTTTGTCAAGAAGTCCCATCAGCTCTGTGTCCTCAGACCCAAACATAAAAACAAAGACCAGAACCCTGGACCTGCAGAGACTCATGGAGGAGGCTGGGTTCTGCTCTGGACCTGCTTCACCGCATCTGAATCTGTGCAGGGTGCAATGAAATCTCAAGACTATCAAGGCCTGCTGGAGCTAAATGTGCTGCTCAGCAGGTCATATGTCCTCTAACAGCATACAGACCCAAAACACTAAAACTAAAACCACCCAAGAATGGATCAGAACCAAACACTGGTGTGAAGTGGTCCTCTGAGCCCTGATCTAAACCCTGAGGACAGGTGGACCAGAACACCTGAGGACAGGTACAGGTTGAGCAACAAAATCCTTTTGATCAAGGCCAATCTCTTTTGTTTATTTTTAAAATAATTCTAAATAAATAACAGATTATCTTTAGTTGAGTTTTAATTTTTTTCCTTTTTTTTGTTTCCAGTTATTTCAGCGAACATTGTTTATTATAGCTTTTATTTCTTTATTAAAAGGTTACTAACAAATTTACCTATGTCTTTAAAGTTTAAATAAGCTAGCATACATTTATTTAAAGATAAAATTTAAAAAAATTAGTTTGATATAAAAAAACTGTCTAAAAATAGAAAGAGGAGGAAACACAAGGTCAAACACGCTGACATTAATGGTTAATGACGCACAGCAGTCACATGTAGGCAAACACACGTGTTCCAACAAGCATGGCTGCAGAAATTCACATGTGCATCACGGATTACAGTATCCTCAACACGCACTGAGCAACCCACCCCCCTACCCAAACACCAACACACACCTCCGCTTCCCAGCAGAACGCACAATCTGCACATTGTGCTCATACAGACCGTCTGCATGAAGCCTGACGCCTGCGCCGACATCACAACCAAAACATAATCAGGTCAACTTCCGCACCCTCCCTCCTGACTGCATGCACCATCTCCTGCTCCACCCGCTCTCGCCTGGCGCAGCGGACGACTCGTTTACCGGCAGCGATTAACGGGAAAAGCCCGTGGGGTTGTGGCAGCCGCAGGCAGCCGCTGATGTCCGCATCTCGGCTCCTCCGCCGTAACGCACATGAACGAGATGCTCCTCGCCGCAGAGGCTGGTGGATGGACAATTAGGACGGGAATAAAAAAAATAAAAAATAATTTAAAAAATACATGCAAAGGTGGAAAACGCTGAATAAAAAATCCTGGAGGGACGAGACGAGCTGAAGGTGCTTCTCGCTGTGCAGCTGAGGACTGACTGTACGCTGAACCGGGAGAGGAAGGAGGGATGGGGGTGGATCGGTGACGAATGCGAGGACATGAACAAGGAGAGAGGAGGAAGATATTAAAAAAAAACCACCCTCCTCCCCAAAAACAATAAAATGGCAGGGAGCCCAGAGGAACCCCTCCTCCTCTCTGGCACCCTCACCAAGCTGGAGGATGAGTGACTGAATGGGATGGAGGAGGACGGGCGGTAGGGGAGGAGAGAGGTGGGCGGAGCCAAAGCCTTGGCCCAGGGGTTTGTAGGTAATGCCTTCAGGCTCACCGGTCACGGCTAATGATGCTGAGAGAAGGTCGGCTTTAAACGAGCACTGACATAAAACTCTCATCTTCTTTCTTCATCCAACTGCTTCTCCTCCTGAGCTCTAAATCATCCTACAGCTGCTTTTGTCCCACCCCTCCTCCTGCTCTCTTCACTTCTCTGCAGCTCTAATCTCTGTCTCCAGCTCGCCTCAGGCTGATGCAGAGAGAGAAGAGAGGGGAGACTGGACGGAGGTGTGGCGTGTGTCTCCTCCTCCTCCGGAGATTTACCGCCGACGGGTCAGGTCCTACATTCTCCCCATCCTGCCGTTTTCTCTCACGTCCTCTCCGAGCTGTCGCACGGCGCTGATATTTAAGGAGCAGATGGGGGGGTGGGGGGGGGCACGCGGCTCAGACATAAGTGTGTTGACGCTCACACAGAAAGGCTGCACAAAACTAAACACTCTTCTCATGACTGCTGAGGTCACCGAGGTTCACGGTGAGACGGGATGAATGAGAATAAATGGCTGAAGTGGAGGAGATGGCAGGACAGAAAAAAAAAACAGAGGATAAAACTGAGCCAAATTTAACTCATTAGTGCTCAGTGTTAGCGCTGGGGATGACTAACCCCAAATTTTAAAGGGGCAATATTATGTGTTACTCAGGCATATATTTGAATAACTAAACTGCTCCGGGGGCCACAGTTACTGCAGGCCAACAGCTGAGGGGCCGAACATCCAGCAAATAAAGTCATTATGTAAATAAACCAAGTATTACAAAGATCTGTTACCTTTGAAATTGTTTATTTTGCTGCATTTAATCATGAATACAACATACAGAACCCTATAAAAGTAGTGATAATAAAACAACAAAAATAAAAATAACACATTCTGCCTCCAATTTGACACAAATATTATTTTGACATCTCTGACTTGCCAAATTTTTAAACTAATTTTATTTTCACTTTCATAACTTTATCTTCAACTGTTTGTAATTTTAACTATCTTGAGTGCGCACAAAAAGATTCTGATGTTTCTGTTAGATACCAAACATGTCTATGTCTAACTAAAAGAACTTATAGTAATTAAAGTAGAAAACCGGGGCTTTGGGCTGAAGAGATGAATGAACCAATTGGCGGGCCAAACTTTGGTCACTCGTGGGCTGGATGTGGCCCGTGAGCCACCAGTTGAGTAACCCTATTCTATACCATAATAAAGTATCTATGTCACATTTAGTTGTTATTAAAGTGCTGTTCTATGTTTAAATAGAAAATAAATTTGTCTTCTAATCATTTCTGTTTCTAAACACCTTAAATTGGCCTCTGTCTCTTTAAGAACCTCCTTCCGCTTCTGTCCCGCCTATTCCAACATGTCATCACAGCTGATAGACTGCAGGAGTCATGGGCAGGGTGCGCGCGTGGGGTGTGTGTGCGCTGGGGTGTAAGAAAATATCGATACACTGAAATATCGCGATATTTCATTTCCTGATACTGTATCGATATTCTAAAGTCCTATATCGATATTTAATTAAGGTTTAAAATATCAACTTTCCTGCCAGCCGTTCATTTTTATGTTGTAGTTCAGCCTCTGACCACTAGTTGGCAGCAGTGAGCCAGACATTTGGCTCCTCTACCTC